TGACGAGTATGTGTGGCTGTCAGTCACCGCACCGGTGTGGATATTTTATGTACTTCGCACTCACAGATTCTTGCCTACGTCTTGGAATATATGACCCAAATAAGAATTTTCACCGTATATTGTCATCTGAACAAGTTAGGAACAAGTCTGCCACGTTTGTTCTGACCAACTGAGAAAAAAAGTATTACAATAAATCGTGCGACCAATGGTGATTTATTCTAAAGATCGGTTAGCTCATATCACATCAAACCGCGCAAATTATTATTATTGTTATACTTTATTCTCAAATTATTAATGTTAACAACATCAGCATTGCGCGACTATGAGTATAGTGTGTATTAGTGTGTAGATTTCAATTTATGTATAGTCTAATCTCTAATTGTCATACCATTCGAATTTCATATTAAGAAATTCTTTTAACCCAAAAAGCGAATTATGCTCCCTTCGAACTGGTTGTCTTTAAAATACAAATCTTGTATAATCCCAGGCTATCTGTAATCAGAAGCACATTTAAAACTGGAATATAATTTAATTTCATTCACATGTTTCATAAACACAGTCTTTTCTGGATTACAACCCGCCATCAAAATTATACATTTAATTAAAAAACCTACCTGTACCACTCAAATTAGAAAACATTATTATAAGCTAACCGCTGTGAATCGGGCTAAAGTAAGGCAATAGTTTTGAACACTGGCTGGTTATGTGCTTGCTCAAATATTGATTTCGGATCATTTTTAACCAAAAAAAGTTACGGACTGCAGCTTTAATGTTTTTTGCATTTGCTTTGGAAGTCCATGTCATGCTAGCCTTGGATCTTATCCTTCCTGCTCTTCATCCCAGTCATTCATAAGGTTAGTTAATTGAGGGCCTGCGTTGTTTGGCATCCCTACGACACTTTACAGATGCATCTGGGTTCTGTTAAAGAAAACTTGCCTTTCTTCAATAGAGCAGCTGGACAGGTCCATTGGGAAGACCCTTGAACTTGTTATCTGAGGCTGAAGAAGAGGAGGAAGAGGGAAGGGTGAGGGTAAATGAGGGGAGAGAGGAGAGGTCGCAGCTACATGTGAAATCTCTCGGACCCAAACAAAAGAACAGAATTGTGGAACAAGAAAAAGCACATTTTGGACAATTCTGGGCTGATAAAATGTCAAGCAGAGAAGGCATATCACTGTGGGACTATGTCCATCCCTGGAAGTCCTGGATGGCAAAGAACCGGCTTTCATAACTCCTGACAGTGAGACTCAAATATAGGTAAACAGTGAATGAACAAATCCCCGTTTTTTACAGTAAAAAATACAGTGCTTGAAAGTCATGCTTTAAGCTGAGGCAGAGCTGAGTTTTTTTGGGGTTTAGTTATTATATTATAAATGAAGAGGGAGTGAATGAGAAAAAGTGTGAAAGATGACTGGAGGTGGACAGAAAGAGTAGGTCAGAAAGTTAAACATGCAATAGCAGGCAGTACTGATCCTTCTTTTCGCTTTAGGGAAGCTCTTACAGTAATACCCTGAGACAACTCACAAGAACCACCTCAAATTGTTTGGTTCAAGAGCTTTTCTGTTTTTTCAAGGCCTGAAGGCTTGGAATGCCCTCCCGGAAGAAATTATCCATGAGGATCTCTCCTTGTGTACTCTCCAAAATCTCACCTGTTCAAAAGCAGCTCTCTTGCAGAAGAGATCAACATGTGGCTATAGCGTGCAATAAAGCTAAAGTGTAATTGATTTTGGTTCAAGCAGCTATGCGAGTGCAATACAGATATTATGACCGCAGTTTTAATGCTGTCGCATGCCTCAATGCACCAGTGACTTGCAAAATCTTACTCCGATCGACCTGCAGTTACCTCCCAGTTTGTACTCGGTGCACCCTTTCTGTGGTTACCACCCATAACTGTACCTTCAGTTGTCTTCTGCTCTATCACATTGAGGTAATCTAATTTTAGATCTTCACTGCTATCCGCAGCAGGTCTTATCTTGTCTTCATTTCACATTAATATTTACATTGTGCTCTGAAATATGAGATACCACTCAGGGTGACGCGCAGATGCATCACAAGTTAAACTAGGTTCTGTAGACAACCATGCACTATTTCAGCAAGCTGCATTGGCCAGGACGTCTAAGTGACTTCATCACTTTAAAATAGGAACCACAGTATTGCACCTCAAATTTGTGAGGGCACAGTTGTTTGAATGTCATGTAGTGGCTGGGAGAGAGACTGGTTGTGTGGCACGTCTGCTCTGTCAGTCGTCCGCTGCATTGGGATTGTGATCTCATTCATCCATTCGCTTGTAGCCCAGTCTGGAAACCTAGCCTCTGTCACCATGGTACCTCGGCCAGGCTGGGCAGGGTGTTGGGGATGGAAAGTTGGTAGTAAAGATGGGTGCCCTGGGTGGAGCAGCATATTTTGGGAGGCAATACGACTGGGATGCTGCATCAAAACAGATGGTGTCGACTTACGAGGATGGAGCTTCCTCTGCGCTGAGTTTGAAAAGTGTACATGACACAGATCAAAGCCCTGCTCACCCAACCAAACGCAGGACGCAGCTATGATCAAAGAACCGAGACCTGCCAGAGCACTCGCCACACTTGTTTTCTATCACTGGTTCTACTCATGACAGTCATTCTTCTTGTTTATTTTCTCCCCCTCACTCTCTCAAACCACAGTTTAAGCAGATGTGTTGCAGCAGCAATACCTATATACTGTCATCTCTTCACTAAAAAACATCCAGTAGTTTAGTCACTGTGTGTGGCCATGTGTGACATGTTAAAACTTTGTGGTGCAGAGGTTCATTATCCAGTCTCAAGCTGAAAGACCTGCCTCTGTTTCCCTCAAAGCTACTGAATGAAATTCTGTAGAAAACTGATTCTACTGCACAAGACTCACACATTTCAAACATACAATCTATACTCACATAGAGTCCAGTGTGCCGTTCTCCGAAGAAAGGGAAAGCCACAGAGATCGCTACCAGTCCTGATCCTCCATCATCTTGCTTGATGGTCTGGGAGTCACCCTCATCCAGGCCAAATGGGTAGAACTCCTCCAGGGGTACAGCCGGCTCCACGCCATGAAGCAAAATAAGAAGCATGCACATGGAGAGCACCAGTCTCCTCAGCCACCCCATGACCTTGTCTGCACAGGGATGGAGAGGAGAGGACTAAGATCCAGGACACTCAGAGAGGGCAACAAGACAACTCTAAACTCCAGTGTCAAATGCTCAACCAATGATTCTCCTTGTCCTTCTTCTCCCTGTTTCTGTAATTTTCCTCTTTTGGGTTCTAATTCCTCTCAGATCTTCTCTCAGCCCTGGTGCTTGGGCTGTTGGTCTATAACAAGGGGGTAGATTCCTTGCATTCTGTGTGCTGCTGGGTGCTCAAGAGCTGCTGTGCTCCGTGCCGCTCACTGAAATGAACAGAGTGAGAGAGAGAAAAAAGGAGAGGGAGCAGAGTGATTCGGCTCTATTTTTTTTTTTTTTTTTTTACAATCCAGTGACTTGGTCCCTGATGGTTAGTTTAGAAATATCCTCAATAAAACCTCTATTCTGCCTGCCAAAGGAGTTCTTTCAGACCCAGCCCCACCCCTCCAGGGATTCACTACCTTGCATTAGAACACTCATCCAATAGCTGAGGAGAGACCGGTAACTGGATAAGCACTGGGTGGAGCTATGGTAATCAAAGGGCTGCTTTAAAGAGACTCTGACAGGGCACTCTCCTCTGCTCTTAACTTTTGCTGAGAAATACCCTTCCCTAGAAGAACATGTCTCAGTGTGGTACACTACCACATGGCAGTGTAAGAGTTCCAGAAGTTGGGATGTCATAGTGCATTCTTTGTATATTGTACACAAGACAAGAAGAAAATATACAAAAGCCCTTTGATTTGGACTAGAGATTTACTGAAAGATTTCTTACTCTCAGAAAATAAATTTTCCTCCAAATTAATCATACAAGGCAAGATTTCAAATATTTGAAATGTGCCTGAAACAACTCCCCTAAAATAAAATGAGATTCTTTTTACCCAGGGGGTCATTAGTGGCGGGAATCAAATCTGGGAGGCAGAACATCACAAAGATTATTTTATAGGTCGTTATAGCTTGTTTGCACACATCATAAACTACAGCAATTATCCAAAATACGCCAAAGCCAACTGCTGCAAAAGACAGCAATTCTTTGGACCACAAAAATCAATCTCATTTTTATTTTTCTTGTTTGTATGGTTTTATTGACTCACAAAAATTACTTTGTGATGAAACAAATCAGTTTTCTAATAGTTATAACACAGTAGTGATTATGAAATAGAAATTGTTTTAACACCCATAATAAGAGAAACACCATATGGAAACAATATGAAAACAGCATTTGTAGGTAAGATATATGATTCATTTTCTGTCCTGATTCACTCTAGCTGTTATTTAGCTGATTGGTACTAACTAAAACAAGATGATCTTATTCTCTAAATGGTAGTATGTTTAAATAATGATCACAGCAATCATGTTAGCTACAAAGAAGAAAGAAAATAACATAATTTTGTGGTTTGCAAAACAGTTTAGGGGAACTAGGGTGTAATATTTAAGGTAGGTACAGATGTTTAAAAGTGTGTGTGTGGTGTAGCATTGAGACTGTGCTTAATGCTCTAAGATGAACAGGGATAGATTTAAGGTAGATTTATGGTCTGTTTCAACAGTTTGCTGCACAAATCCTTAAAACAATTTGGCAATTGAGAAGCATTTGGTGAAACAGTGATCTCTTTGTTTGCTGTTATTGGGTTCTTATGGTGTGGATCAGGATTACTTAAAGTATTTGTGCAAATGTAGTCCAACAATTCTCCCTGAGACCAGTGATTTTGTGTGTTTTTAAATCTAAAGTATGTGTGTGAAATGTGTGTGTGTGTGTGTGTGTGTGTGTGTGTAACATTTCATTATGCATAAGTCCATTCATGTTAGCACAGGCCCAGTTTAATTGGTTATAGGCCTTTGAGAGACTACAAATATGTTTGGTAACAAAAAGCTGTCAGTTGGTCACCATGGGCTGAATTCCCAAACCACTACAGTTTTTAGAGCCCCAATCTCAGCATCTGCTTCATATACGCTTGCCTCCTCTTCATCTCCTGCTCCAACTGTTCTTTCAGTGTGCAAACCTGAGAAACACAGAACTGTCAAGCTTTCATTAAAGGCTTCTTACTATTGAAAGTGATGTAAATGTCACTATTACAATACATCAAATTTTTATAGCTTTCTTAAACCTGTTCCTCCAAGCAGTGGACCCTCTGGTGGTGAGCTTTCTCTCGAGCCTCCAGTGCTCTCTCTGCCTGCTGCTGGGAGTCCCTCATCCGCTCGGTCTCCAGGTCCAGCTCTTGCCTGTGGCGAGCCGTCACTTCCAGGAGCCTCTGGGAGTGAGTCTGCTCCAAGATAGAGATCTGTGACTGCAGAGACAACACATAGCATCCTGTCACAGACCAATCCAATACAAAAACAATAAGAGCTGGAAAAACTAACATGACACATGACCAATTATGATCAGATTTCAAAAGGTGAGAGTACTAGATGCTGATCCATGTATTATGAACTTATTACTATTCGTAAGTATGTCTATCACCTGTAGCATGTGAATTTCGGCCTGTGTCTCGCTTAAATCTTGCTCTAGATTTCTGATCTTTTGTTCTTGCTGTTCTCTCTCACGCTCAGCATGCAATACCTCTGCCTCCTTCCTTTGGCGATTTTTTTCTACCTGCACACAACACGTGCATGCACACAAAATGTTTTAAGGATAGAAATCTGGTGTGAGATACTGTCACATGCTGTATATTTATGTAGGAGGATCATTTTAAGTTTCACAAGATTGACAAGTTATTAGCAAACACACACAAACCCTCATGCAAACTTACCTCAACCAATAATACTAAGAATAGTTAAGGGTACAGACAAGGCACTCTGATTAGTTTGCACATATTAAACATCACAGTCAATGACATGAAAACTAAACTATTTGAAAATCATTATGTTTGGCTGTGCATGCTATTTATAACAGAATGATGTACCTTCTCCAGGATACGCTTTAGAGAGGACCTGTCTTTTTCCAGACGGAGCAGTGTCCTCTCCAGCTCAGCTTTCTCTCCCTGCAGCCGATGTGCAGTGGTCTGCAGGGTAGCCACCTGCTCCTGAAGCTGATCCTTTTCTCCGTGCAAGAGTGCATAGCTCTCTTGCACCTCCTGCTTAGCCTGTTGCCTCTGTCTCACAGCCTAGTGAATTAGAAGAGATGTAGAATAGACACCATCTACGTGACTGTCCAGAACTGGTGTAAATAAACATGGTTTTCTGGACTAGTATGTTTCATGTCTGGGGCAGAAACTCAGATTAACAAAAAAGAGACAGCTTTGACTGTATTTGTGTCTGGTTAAGATGGTGTCATGTGCAAGAGTTCAAGAACCTTGAATTTCGCTCAACTGACAATAACAAATATCTCTTTGTCAGTTTATCATGGTGATGATGGTGTAGTTGGTTATATTTTATTTGGTTGCATTTTATTTTTAATTTTGTGTTTTTACAGACACTGAGAGTGACAGACAGAGAAAAAGGGCGCATATTGCTCTCAGTACAGAACCCCTTGCCAACATTTCCACCCTATATCGCTTGAAATGCAAAACGTTCCAGGATTTGTTTGATGTATGTACCTCCAAGGACTAAATTATTTTAACAAGATCACCCAAAAATGAAAATTCTGTCATCAGTTACTCACCTTCATGTCATTACAAACCCATAAGTTTTGATTCATCTTCAAAACACATGACGATAAATATGGTAAACAGAAGCTGAGCCATACTTGAACTAGATACATATTATACAAACCTAGATACATACATTACAATGAGGTTTGTTTTCGTGTGTCAAGCATGCACATTTCAGTTTCCAATTGCTATATTTGACATGCTCTATGTATTTGGCGTTGATCAATGTTTATATGTGAATAAAAGCATAAATAAAATCTATTCATATAAAGCAATCATGTCTCGTCAGAATACGTACATTAAACCACTTGATTCATGTGGACTTTATTTCTTATCTCTTTATAAACTTTTCTAAGCACCAAGTTTTGGTGTAGTGATCTTTCGATGGACAGGAATCTCTTCGAAGATGAAGATGAACAAAAGTCTTACGGGTTTGGAATGACATGAGGGTGAGTAAATGATCACAAAATTTTTATTTTGGATGAACTAACCCTTTAAAACACTGTGTAAACTGTATGTGTGTGTGTGTGTGCGTAACCTCCTGCAGGCCTCGTGTCTGTTTGTCCAGTTCAGAGACCCTGAGTTCAGACTCTTCCTGGCTTCTCTGCAGGTCTCTCACTCAAGCCATGATTTTGCTTCCTACTGTTTGTCAGAGCCTCCCGTGTCTTATCCAACCTTTCCTGTGCACATATAACACACACAGACAAGTATGAACAGGCATCAATCCACACATGCATAATCACACACCCACATCCAGTTTTAATGAGGAGGCTGTACTTCTCCTCACTACTACCAGTGTCCTGCCTTTTTCCCCTTTTTCCCCACTCTTTCCCAACTCTCGGATCACTTTTTTATTGGCATGAGCTGGCAGGTCTCAAGCAAACTGAAAAAGATTTACACTGAGGCCACAGTGTGTTTGTTTGTACAGCATCTTTAAAACAGACTCATACTAAGCCTTAAAAGCCCTCCAGAGGAGCTGGAGAAAATTAATGAGTTCAGTCAAGCATTTTAATGCACCGTCATCCAGCACCTTCAGGGAACAGGCGGCAGCAAAGGTAAATACAAAAAAAAAAAAAAAATCTGGAAACATTATGAAACCACAGAATAATTCACTTCACATTGTGGCCATGCTAGTAAGATGATCTGTTAGGTTTCAATTAAATCTGTACATGAACTTGAGGTGAATTGAGATCAAAACGGATTGTGGCTGAACCACAATGAACTTAATAAGGTTGTTTGTGAGTTCATGATGAAGAAAAATGATTGACAGTGTTTTAATAAAGCCTCAATAGAGAATTTGCTTAAACATGTTTGAAGTTCCAACTAGTTCATATATTTAAGCTTGTCTTCTGTCTTACTGTTGTAGGACTTGTGTACTGTTAGTAGTATAGTCAGTTAACTGCTAGTAAGGCAAACT